AACCCCAAGACATCGGGAAATCTGCATTAAAGAGGACAGGCTTAATCAGATAGAAGGTACAAATGACTCTTCTGGTAATTTGCTGTCATTGCTCAGCTCAGCATAGTCACCTAAGGATCTACCTTAAGTGTCACCATTCATTGTTCACAACATGGTCTCTGCAGGTCCCTGTTTGTGGCCTGAAGATGCCACAGCTCTAAGAAACTCCTAAGGAGGCTATACAATCTTTAGTACAGGAGCTTGTGGTCTTCAATTGTTCCTTACAGAAAATTTCAACATGTACCAAAAGCACAGAAGGAAATAGTGAACCTCACATATGGGCCAGTTTGGGTATTAATGTCACCAACTGTTCAACTCCTTAAAAATATATCTAGTGGCTGGAATGCTGGTGGCTAATGTCTGCAATCCTAGCTACTCAGGAGGCTGAGATCTGAGGATCCTGGTTTGAAGCCAGCCTCAGCAGAAAAGTCTATACGATTCATATCCAATTAACTACCAGAAAACCAGAAGTGGTGCTGTGGCTCAAAGTAGCAGAGCACTAGCCCTGAGTGAGAATTTTGAGCTGAAGAGCTGAGGGACAGAGCCCAGGCCCTGAGTTCAAGCCCCACAACTGAAAAAAAAAATATATATGCATACATATACATACACACACATATATATATACACACACATACACCTATATATGTGTGTATATATATATATAAATACATATATAGTGCAAGACTCTTTTAAAACTTGATTTTTATTAAAATGTTGCAAGAACATTGGCATTTTCCTGGGAAATGTCCAGACCTTTCATCAAATATCAAATTTCATTTCTTTTTTTTGTCAGTCATAGGGCTTGAACTCTGGGCCTGGGCGCTGTCCCTCAGCTCTTCAGCTCAAGACTAGTGCTCTACCACTTGAGCCATAGTGCCACTTCTGGTTTTCTGAGTGGTTTATTGGAGAGAAGAATCTCATGAACTTTCTTGCCAGGGCTGGCTTTGAACCATGATCCTCAGAGCTCAGCCTCTTGAGTAGCTAAGATTATAGACATGAGCCACCGGCACCAGCCAAATTTCAACTTTTTAACCAACTCCCTTTTTTTTTGGTTTAGCCAATCAGATAATATTCTCGTTTTCTCCTTTTTCCCAAAAGAAACAATAACCATCCATGACAAATGGCAGTTGCAGCAAAGCATCAGCAAGAGCAGGCTTCATCCTTAAGACAACGTCTTTTTTTTTTTTGTAAGTATGTTTAACAATCACTGCTAAAAAGCCAGATGCTGGTAGCTAAGACCTGTAATCCTAGGTACTCAGGAGGCTCAGATCTCAGTTCTAACTCAGCCTGGGCAGAGAAAACCCTGAGACTATTCTCTCCAATTAACCAGCAAAAAGCAGGAAACAGAAGTGTGGTTCAAGTGGCAGAGCACCAGCCTTGTGCAAAAAAAGCCAAGTGAGAATGCAAGGCACTATGTTCATGTCCCAGTACTGGCGTGCGTGCATGTGCACGTGTGCACACACATACACACACAAACACAATTACTGCTATAGTGGAACAATGAGAAAACAGTCGATTTCCCTTAAGTTCAATATTTATTATTTTGAGATAGAATCTAACAAAGTAGCCCCAACTGCTTTTGACCTCTTGATTTTCCTGCCTCAGCTGATGAGTGCTAGGATTGCAGGTGTTATCAGTACACCCAACAGGATCAATGGTTCTTAACAAAACTGCACCTTTTCACCATTGCTATGTTAGACACTATTGGAAATATTTTTAAGAAACTTGCTTCTTACAAATTATTTTAGCTGTTGTATATATTAAGTAATTCATTTATACTTTAAAAGCATTGAGGGTTAAGTATCTCCAAAAGTAGTAAAAATAAAAGAGGAGAAAATCACTAAGGAAAGCATCCACACAATGGTCAGTTACAATCACCCTGAGAACTTTTCAGATTGGGACTCAGTCTCCAGAGATGCAGATCTGCCAGCAAACTGGAGGAAGTCAGTCGGAGCAACAATTTCACATTAGCTCAGAAGCACCTGCTTTTTAATCCTCCCATTACAAAATACGAAGAAAACATTACTTCCAGATATGTGGTGCTAACTTAAGCACATTCAGAAGACATAGAAACTGCAGATTAAGTTCAAATAACCATGCTATTTTAAGAAAACAGACTGAATATACATTATTATTTTTATTTTGTTCAAAAAAAGTGGGTCTAAACAGTCAAGCTACATGTACATAAAACAAACCAAGCAACAACTTTTTTAACACAGACCCTTGCAAATTATAACATTCTACTAACTCTCTACAAAGGGCTGGACTAGACAAACAAAAACAGTCTTCCAACACTGACACTGTGACAGGAAACATGACAACTGCTTTCCCTCTCACTTGCTCCCCTATGCACTACCATGTGTGCCAGGCAAGGCCTTCACCTGGGGATGGGAGCAAAAGTGGAAAATAGTACAATAAAACCATCCAAACCCCTCTCCATCTTTTTGCCAAGAGGCTTTACTGTGTGTCAGAATGAAAACCTAAGCAAACAAAAACAATCCATGAGCTCTTCTATTGCTAACTTTAAAGCAAACATGCTGGTGCTGTTGAAGATTTAATTGAGAAGTCTAAAATGACAGCACCGATTAAACTTTTATACTGGGAAGGAGCTGACCCATGAGGCCTTTTTATGTTTCTGTGTTTTTAGGCTTCCCCAGTGCCAGCAAATTACAACACAAAAGAACCCAGTTTTAGTACTCACAATGACACTGGATTCCAGAAGTGATTTGTTTTACTGCTTTTATTCCCTTAATATCTGACTTGGGGTGTGTGTGTGTGTGTGTGTGTGTGTGTGGTATTGGGTAGCCAACACCCACAGAGAGTGTGTGAGTGTGTGTGGTATTGGGTAGCCAACACCCACAGAGCCCTGTGCAGGCTAGGCAAGTGCTGAACCACTGAGCTACATACCCAGCCCTTGGTATTTGAATTTACACAGAACTCCATAAAACTTCAGGTTCTAGTTAAGGAAAGCACCTCATTGTCTCTCCAGCTCCCCCTCCCCCCGCCCCGCCCCAATAGGTTAAATAACTTTCTTCGTATTTGCACCCAAAAACAAGTGACATTCTTCCCATGTGATCTGTAAAACATGGATTCTGTAATTGTCAAACCTTATACCAGTGGTTATGACTTTGAGGAGAGTGGAATAGCACATGGCATGCAGTCAACAAGCTCTCACCTAGGAAATCAGACCCAAGAAGAAATGCGGGACCCCCAGCTGTGGCTCACCTGAAAGCAAGTACAGTATTACAACTGGCAGAAGGGAAAATTGAAAGCATTTATATTTCATTTTTAAAAGTTGAATTTGGCATTTATGATGAATAGTCACCAAAGAAATATTTTAAGAGTCAGATCTGAATTTTGTACGTATAATGATTATGCATTTTTTAATAAAAGTAAAGAAACATGAGATTATATCGTACAGTAATCTTTAGATATATCTTGTATTTATTTAGCTCATACATATGGGTACTTTCAAATCAGGGTTCTAGCCATACTGTCTACTTAACAGTATCAAATCTTTTTTTAGTGGGATTTAACACTCCACAGTCCCTTGAAAGTATATTTAATCTAGTTTTACTTGACTTAAATCGGGCTTTGAATTTGCAGTACAATTTATTATAGGAATAGTACATAGCTGGTATATGTATTTCCTGGATACTTGCCCATACATAATTCCATATATAATCCCAACAAAACTCTTCCCCTCAAAATTCCCTATTGTTTCCTGGTATTTGGGTTTGCAGAGAACAGGTCTGAAGCCATTCTTTTATTTTCTCTTAAGCAACCTATTTTCTGAATACAGTACAGAAGGATTGAAGGCTGTATCATTTGTGTCATTCTCTATCAACAGTAGTTTATTGTTCTTGACAGAAGTGCTTAGCTGTTGATCTCTTTAACGTTTTTGGCATGGTAGTGGTGGAGGAGGAGGAGGAAGAGGAGGAATACAGGGAGTCTTTTTAATCTTTTAATTTTATCCAGGAAAGACTTTATTTTTATAGCTGACAATGGTTTTCTCAGTACAGTCTTAGCATTAGAAAAGTAAATGTCAGTAATGTCACCTGCTGTTCTGTTTTCATATTTGTTCTCTTTCCCATTTTAAATGGTTTATTTTAAAAAGAGAACAATCTCAAGCTTGTCCTTCACATAACTGAGTTAATATCTTTAAAGATCAATATTGTGCTTTTCTGCTTCCAGTATGAGTTTTAGTCCGTTATTCTGTTTTCCTGCTTTCTAGAAATCCCTGTTTCTGTTTCCATTTGATTCTATTGCCTTTCCTCAAGATAACACAGTACTGTTGCACAGAAGAAAATCTCTTCTTTCAATTATGGCAAAGAGAATCCTAAAACTTTTTTTCCTGTGGTACAGCCCTTTCAAGATTTTTCTGGAAGTGTTTATCCTTGATTTAGTCCTGTTTTTTGGTGGCTCTCCCCCCATATTCATTCCTAAATGTGTGTTTTTTTCTCTCCTCAGATACTTTTTTAAAAATAAAATTCCTTTTTCAGTCAAATCCCAAGCTGATGTGCATATTTCCAAATTTAACATAGAGGTAGCATCCTCTGCCATCCTGTTGCCTGATTTTCTGCATCTCTGAACCAATGACTGCTACCCAATCATAGACTGCTTCTGTGTCACCTGAGGGCTTAACTCTCAGAATGCATTATGTACCACCTCAACTTTGCTTTCTGCTCATGTTTTATTTAGCCTTAGGCTTTGAAGTCCTGGGATGAATGAAGATGCATGTTGAGGAAAGGAAGAGCAGCATCTGGATAGGACACCAGTCAGCCATCACTGGTTCAGGATCTCTGAGCCAGACAGAGTAAAACAGAAGTGGTTGGGAAGGAAGACATATACTAAATAGCATTAAAAAATTGTGAAGCTAAGGAGTGAGCTATGGCATGGAAAGTTTTGTTCCAGTTCACTTTCATCTGCCTTGAAAATGATCCTAGATACAAAATTGGGGTTTGGTCTTCTAGGTCTTCAGGAGTGCTTTCTGGGAAGGTGGGAGAAATTCAATGGGGGCTTCTGCTAGCCAGGTGTCATTTACCAGGTGCATTAATTTTCAAAATCCAAATCTTCCCAGTTATGGCATGGAGGACAGTTTTGGACTAGTTTTCTAGTCCCGAGTCTGCTATTTACTGCCTGACTGACCTTCAGTGGGCCTTTTAATTAATCTCTGGGCTTTAATTTCCTTGTGGGTGAAATGAGGATTCTGGATTAGTCACCCATAGTCTACTGTTTTACATCTTGAGCAAGAAAATAAATATGCCTGACAAAGGAAAGAATAAAAAACAAATGAACCAAATAAGTATATAAAAATATACTTAGGTGACTGCTTTAGTCTAAAGATTATACATAAAAATCTTTTGATGCCAAAATTAACAGGCAAAAGACCTGAGCATGAAACTGTGACACAGAGGAGAAACACCTTCACATTTTTATTTTTTTTTGTCAGTCATAGGGCCTGAACTTTGGGTCTGGGCGCTGTCCCTCAGCTCTTCAGCTCAAGGCACTATCTAGCACTCTACCACTTGAGCCACAGCACCACTTCCGGGTTTTTCTGCTTATGTGGTGCTGAGGAATCAAACCCAAGGCCTCCTGCATGCAAGGAAAGCACTCTACTACTGAGTCACCTTGCCAGCCCCCAACCTTCACATTTTGAGCGGTGGGTCTAATGTCAAAACAGATACAATCTTTTATTAATCTGGTAGGAGCATCTGCTCTTTTTCTGTTGTTGTTGTTGGTCGTGGGGCTTGAACTCTGGGCTTGGGCACTGTCCTTGTGCTCTTCAGCTCAAGGCGAGCACTCTATCACTTGAGCCACAGCACCACTTCCAGTTTTCTAGTGGTTTATTAGACATAAGAGTCTCACAGACTTTCCTTCAAGGGCTGGCTTTGAACCATGATCCTCAGATCTTAGCCTCCTGAGTAGCTAGGATTACAGGCAGGAGCCACCAGCACCTGGCTAGCATCTGCTCTTTAAGGGAGAGAACAAGTAATAGAAGTTACTTGGTGGACAAACACATACCAGGCCTAAGAGGATATGGCTCGAGAAAGGACCATTTCTTAAATTTTAACAAATTAAAAGGACCTCTGTGGGCCTAAAGTTCTAATAGATGGAGTACTGGATGTGTAATCAAACCTGCCAGTTCAAATTTAAGATCTCTAACTACCTCTGTAAGACTTTAGCTATCTGAGCATTGGTTTCTCATTAAAAATAATTTAGATGTACTTTGAAGAACTGTTTGGAACATTAAATAAGAATGCAAAGCAGTTATGAGAAAGCTCTTACTATAGTGTTAGACCTAAGAGCTTCTATTTGAGCAAATCAGCAGATATAATAAGCAGGTAAGTTCGTTCTTTCTCTCTCTCTTTCTTTCTTTCTTCCTTTTTTTTTTTTTTTTTTGGCCAGTTGTGGGGCTTGAACTTAGGGCTTAGGTGCTGTCCCTGAGCTTTTTCCACTCAAGGCTAGGACTCTACCACTTTGAGCCATAGCTCTACTTGTGGTTTTCTGGTGGTCCACTGAAGATAAGAGTCTCACAGACTTTCCTACCCTGCCAGGCTTTGAACCATAATCCTCAGATCTCAGCTTTCAGAGAGGCTAGGATCATAGGCAGGAACCACCAGTGCCTGGCAGCAAATCAGTTCTAATTAACCAGTTATATTGATCATTAGCAAATCAGTTCTAATTAACCAGTTATACTGGTCATAGGGTATTTAGGAGCTCATGCTCCTCTCAGCAGAGGAGAGGAAATGTATTTAATCAATATGAATAGTAAAACTATTCATCTACATATTACCCACTGCAACTTTTGGTATTTGGTTTTGCCCCAAATTTCCATGAATTTCCATATGAGCTGTATTATATAAATAAAGCACTTTAATTGAGTGTAACAATCTGATTCTGCTCAACAACTATGCAAGGGCATCTGGATTGCTCAAAATCTCATAATAGTGGGAAAACCTGCCTGCAGAATGGTTTTAGAAAATCCTGTGAGGTCAGATGCAGGAAATTTCCATAAATGTAGTTTAATTTTCATCCTCCATAGAGCCTCCTCTTTCAGAAAGGGGGTACATTTGTAGGACACCACCAATCCATCCCAGGAAAGGTCTTAATTGACTCATTTATATGAAAAATACACAAAATTCTTTTATCTAACAACTCTTCCTGAACAATGTTCTTAACTGTCCTTTAAAACACTTATACCCAAAGCAAAATAATTGAAAGATATACACAAATTTGAAACTTAATTTATTATATTTAGAGCTGTCTATTAATAGCTTCTTAGTATGTATAGACCTTAACTGAGACTCATAGGAGCTCATCTAGAGAAAATGAGGTAACTCTTTTTTGAGGTCTTCATTGTTTTCATTCATTACTAGCTCAAAAAAACATTTTTTAGCAAGCCATATCTCAGAAAAACAACAAAGTGCTGAATGTTTCATAAGGATAATATTTAAATATTCTCTTTATATAAGTAGTAACAAAGTGGCCACTGTTAGCCTCAACTGAGAAAAAAATCAACATTCTGCTGTCTAGAGATAGCAAAATCATTTCAGAAGTTGTGAAATTTGATAAATCTCATCAAGATAAGAACAAGGTAAATCTGATTTCTTAGGAAGTCTTCCCGGTATCTGACCTTGAAGAATTAGGAATTTTGTATCCTGGCTTGGCCCCTTCTTAACTATATAACCTTGAGAGTTGCATAAGGGTGATCCCGTATCTGGGAACTTCTGACTAATCTGACAGCACAAGGCTTTCCTTTCTATAGGAACATTACCGGGTCCAGATTCTCTTAATAACTATGTCCACGAGCATGCCAGATAGAGCTTAATGCTTTTCATAAGACTGAACTTAGAAAAAAAATGAAAGTCGCAATGTCAAATTTCTTCAAACATTTTATCTGTCAGGACAGACGAATGCAGGATACAATTCAAGGAAAGCTGGGCAAATGACATATGATAAAGGAAACGTTTTTCCCATAGCTTTGGTTAGATACTTTCATAATATTCCTTTTTTTCCCCCCAAACACTAAACAGTGGGAAAACCTCTGTAAGGCCTCTTCAAGGCTTCTGATCTTCCTTCATTTATTTTTACCTAGATGTGAGGTAATAGAGCTTAGTTGTACTGGAGGTAGAATTAACCCATGGCATAAATGTGTTAACTTGGCCAGATTAATGGATTTAGTTTTCTTTTCAAGTTTAAGTTTGGTGAGGGAGAATCTGCATAATGAAAGCAATAGGTGGTATAATGCAGATTGGTATTAATTATTAACAAAAGTTATATCTAAAAAGGCTAACATGTACTATCCAGGTAAGATGTCCCTGGTAACAGCCTCACTGTTGATATTTAATTTGTTCACACCCATCAAGTTGGACAAGTCTGTCTAACTACACTCTCTGATGGGAAGCCTTCTGGGTTGTGGGGTACCCAGAGCTACTTCTAGAACAGCTACAGAAAGTGCTGCAGGGGTGAGCTTCCCAAAGATGCTATAGGTCCTCTCTGAACATCTATAGCACCTCCATTTCTGAATGAGTAGGTGAATTTGTGTTTCTTTCTTTCTTTTTTGTGCTGAAGATCAAACAAATTCATCTTGCTTCCTGGCATATGCTAGGAGCTATCTACCGCTGAGTAACCCCCCAGGCCTACCTTGCAAATCCTTGATACTCATTCCAAATGTGGAGCACAAAAACACAAAGGTAAGTGAAAAAACATTCTCTTACCTTCCCTCTTCCTTCCCTTTCAGTTCTTGTTTCTCTTGCTTAGGCCTAGAGCAGGTCTCTCCAGTGAGGATGGCACAAAGTTGACAGGAAAGGGCTGGGGAGGTGGCTCAGTGGTAGAGCGCTTGCCTTGCATGCTCAAGGCCCTGGGTTCGATTCCTCAGCACCACATAAGAAAAAAGCCGGAAGTGGCGCTGTGGCTCAAGTGGTAGAGCGCTAGCCTTGAGCTGAAGAGCTGAGGGACAGCGCCCAGGCCCAGAGTTCAGGCCCCATGACCGGACCCAAAAAAAAAAAAAGTTGACAGGAAAGCTAGAACCACAGCCTCATCTGAGCCCCAGCTAGGATGAGGTGTTCTGGATCTTCTTAAGAGCCTCTGAAAGCAGGTATGATGGTACACACCTGTAATCCTGGCACTAAGGCAGGAGGACTGTGAGTTTGAGGCCAGCAAGGGCTACCCTACAAGATCCTGTCTCAAAACAAAACAATACATAATGCCTCTGAAGATAGGCATAGTCATATACACCGACAGTGTTGTGCCATGTTAACAGGTTTAACAGGATTTATCAGATGTTGATTTTACAAGTGTGTCTATACTTGCACACACATATTTGCACAAGTTCTTAATACAATAAGTGCACATGCAGTTCTTGAGGAGCCTACTTTTTCACTCCAATTCCTCAAGGAGGCATGTGCTGAGTGGCATTTAGGATGCCGAGAAACCATTTTTTACTCTATCAGGTGTTACTGAAGATCTGCTCTCCTGAGTTTTTAGTGTCATCATTCACTTCAGAACTCTGGAGATGTAAAATACATCAAATAGGTGACAGGTAACAAATTCCATGCAGAGATGGTTATACAGTTAATGAAAAGCCACAATGAACACTGAAACTACAACTTCTGCATCAGTTATTGCTACTTTTAAAAACACGAAAATCCGATTCCAGTGATTTCTAATGGCAGTTTCCTCCTGAATCTGTTTAAAACAAAAGTGGAGGCTTTATTTAATGAGGCTGCAGGCTCTGCTTATAGTTAATACAGATCACATTTCAGTCTAAGAGTAGACTGACAAGAAAATGACCATTTACTTTCCACAAACAAAATATCCTTTGGATGTTTAGCAAACTCAAAATACTTAATATTTTATATCAAGTTTTCTTAAACCCTTAAAAATCACTACAAAAAACCCACAACAGAATAGTATGCAATATTAAGTTGTAACACTGATTATTACTTTTTATATACAGATGGAGGTTTACCAAAGTAATCTCTACTCAGAAAAGATCAACTAGTAAATAAAATTATAAATGTGTAGTAACTAGAAAGTGAACGACATTAGACCTTAAGGCAGCATTGGTTGAGTCTTCTCTGGCAAAGTGTCACATATTTCAATGATCAGCAAATTATTTAGAAGGAATTAAGTGCTAAAATAATGCTTTGAAAAAGAAGTACAACTATTTTTTAAACTCCTGCAAAATGAATTTAAATTGGATTTTAATTTGAGATTAGAAAGCATTCCCAGGAACGTAAGGTTCAGTCTTTCCTCCAATATATGATAAAAATACTAGAAATTATTATTGATTAGCAATCGTAGGGCTCCTTTTTCACTTATTGTTGTATTTCTAATAACTACTGAACAATATTTGGAAGATTCTGTGAGTATTTAAGTAACATGTGGTCAGGATGTTTTACCTGAGTGAAATGATTTTAAACTTCACGAACAACCTGTCATGATGGTTTGGTTTTGCAACTTACATCCTTAATGCTAGGTTTGTTTACTTGGTAGGTTGCCTGAATCATACTGTCCCAAGCACTGGTGCCAACCTAAAATAATGACATCTGTGGTGACTGAAACAGTCAGACTTGGATAAAAATATCTCAAAGCTCTTTATCAAATGCATTTGAGGATTTATTTCCTTTGTATTGTGTTTTATGGGGTTTTCCTAGGAAAGCCTGAACATTATTATTTATCCTTTATGTGCTGTATGCCAAATAAACAACTGTATGACAGGAAGAACAAACAAACTCCCAACACGTTCAAATGAAAAGTGCTGTCATGTGGTGCTGAGAACTAAGACAGACGTAGGCACTTCTGCTTCAGGTTTTCACATTTGGATCACAGGTGGCTTTTCCAAGCCCTTTTCTTTCCCTACAAGAATTCCTCTCATAGTACAAACTATCTAGTTAACTGGGAACCTTGTTCTCACAAACATTCGTCTTCTTTTATAAAATTCTCTCCACTCACAGCAGAGATGATCTTCCTGCTAAAGTGAGGAGCCTGCCTCTCTGGCTGAGGCTCAAGGTCCTGCCCTGCAGGACCGTGCTATCCACCAAGAAAATGTACAGGAGTGTCCAGTGCAATTTCCTCTAACACGTCTGTCTCTCTCCTCTCTCCAGTTCTTTATTGTGAGTTAACTCAACAAAGCGTATAGTCCTCAAAACATTCTAATGCTACTGGCTACTGGGATTTTTTTTTTTGATGACTACTGAAACCGTTTCCTTTCTCTTTTTGCAGAAAACCTGTGCTAAAAAGGCACTAGATAAAATGAATTCCCTCACTCTTATAGATAATAGTGATAGAAATAAATTCTCATAGAATCAAGGTTCTGTGATTTAACAAAGGTGAAGCACACCTGGACAAAACATTCCAATTATTCAAATCCATCTCCTTTCATGTAAAAAAAAACCCCAAAAAGAAAAACAACAAACTCCGAGTTAGAGGAATAGCAGGCTTCAGGGAATGGAAAGGGCACGCCAGGGTCAGCTTCTGACTCCGGAGGACTCTGCCTTGCTGCTGAGCCTGGCTTTGGCAGCCTGGAGGAGCTCTTGCTGGGAGGGGAGCAGGGCAATGGCCTGGATCCATGGAGAGAGGGTTCACTGGCAGCAGCTGTGGGAGCCAAGCCTCCTGGAGACCTGAGTAAAGGAGACGAAGGTGAAGTTCTCACAGTTGTCCAGCTTGACTTTCTTGGCTAAATTGGGGACAATCCCCCGAAGGGACCGCAGTCCCATCCTCTGCTCCTCATACCACACACTGCCCATGTCTGTGGCCTCCTTCCTGGCAGTAAGGTAGAAAGGGGACTTGGCCTCCATTTGGGTGGGTGGTCGATGGATGTACATGTACTTGTACAGGAGGCAGTAAGGGCACTGTTTGTGTCCCCTGGAATGCTCATGGTAGATTTTCCCATGACACACTCGGGTAGAAGTGCTCCGGCATTCCCGCTTGACACTGTCGGTCCGAGCAAAGTAGGGCTGGTTTTGTGGGTCTTTGAGCAGCTCGATATCGCCGTACATGAGATCAGCATGCTCCTGCAGTGTCCGCATGTTCAGGTACTGGCTGTTGTACTTGACTACAGTGGACAGGAGAGTGATCGGGCTGGTATCTCCTAAACATCCAGCCTGCCACATCTCCTCCTCGTCAGAAAGGGAAAAGTAAACAATATTGCGGGAGCGGGCACCAGACATCCCTGCCTTACTCAGCACCCACAGCTTCTCCTTGAGCTTCTTGGTAGATGAGCTGAAGGTGCTGCTGGTGATGGAGAAGCCCACCCCTGCGTTCTTCAGGATGCGGTCCAGGCCTCGGCGAATGGCATGGAGTGAGGTAGCCAGGAAGTCTGAGCCATCACTCTTCTTGACGGTGACATAAAAGTTCTCAAGCAGCTCATTCAACTTCACTGCAGGGATCTCAAATGAGACAAACACTGAGGTTATACATTTGAGGACACCCCAATAACCAGACCTCTCCTCCTTCTTCTTCCTACTCCTCACCAGAGACTGTACTACAATAGCACATGTTTGGCTTCTAGGAGATTGAGCCCTTACCATCATAAAGCAGAAGGAATAGTGAATGTGAAGCTGGAAGATCTAGGTTCCACTTGGTTCTCTCTAATGTCTTTTAACCTCAGTGTTTCCATCTCTGAAATAGGCCATAGGAATAGATATATCTTCCCAAAGGATTTAAGTAATGTTAAAAAGTATTACTGACTGGTGCTGGTGGCTCAAGCCTGTAATCCTAGCTACTCAGGAGGCTGAGATCTGAGGATCATGGTTCAAAGCCAGCCTGGGCAGGAAAGTCCATGAAACTCTTATCTCCAATAAACCACCAGAAAACCGGAAGCGGTGCTGTGGCTCCAGTGGTAGAGCACTTGCCTTGAGCTGAAGCGCATAAAGGACTTGTAAATACTGGTGGACACATACCCACTGTACACATATATACGCATGTTTTTGCAAATTCATACATATATATACACACACACATACACATAAATTACTGTTATTATTGGCTCTGTGTGTGTGTGTGTGTGTGTGTGTGTGTGTGTGTGTGTGTGTGTGTGTGTGTGTGTGTGTGTGTGTGTGTGTGTGTGTGTGTGTGTGTGTGTGTGTGTGTGTGTGCTGGTCCTGGGGCTTGAACTCGGCCTGAGTGCTGCCTCTCAGCTTTTCTGATCAAACCTAGTGCTTTACCACTTGAGCCACAGCTCTACTTCTGGCTTTCCTAACTGGTGGCTTTGAACCACAATCCTCAGATCTCAGCCTCCTAAGTAGCTAGGATTATAGGCCTGAGCCACTAGAGCTCAGCTTTATTAGCTTTTTGTAATTTTCACTATTTCTCTCTGAAAGGTTCTTTCTTCTCTTTGCTTGCAAATCAATTGTTTCCTTCTCCCTTAATAAAATTCAGTTCTTTCACTAAAAGATTCCTAAACCATAAACTTAAACTCTGAATCACCCCATCATTAATTTCCTTGCAATCTGCACACACTTTCTGGTCCTGCTATTATTAAGCCTGGGCTGTAGTAGAAGATAACTGATTGGGCCACCTTGCATCTAATTAATGACCCTGGAATTTTCACTTGAACTTCCAAGTAGCTCCTAAAATTATCATCAGCTTAATAACCCATAGGGGTTCAATAATATTATGTGTTAAAAAGAAAAACTTAATGACTCTATTGACAGAGCTCTATACATGAGTATAATAGGTAGAGAAGGAAGCTTTGCTTTGTGTTCAGGATGTACTTTAAAAATAGCAAAGTAGGTTTTGCCCAGTTAGGTCAGGCTGAAAGAGTCACAAAAGCTGAGCACTGGCAGTTCATGCCTGTAATCCTAGCTACTCAGGAGGCTGAGATCTGAGACTTGTGGTTCAAGACCAGGCAGGGCAGAAAAGTTCCTGTGAGGCTCTAAACTCCAATTAACTCAAAAGCCAGAAGTGGAGCTATGGGTCAAAGTGGTACAGCAATAGCCTTGTCAAAAGAGCTCAGGGACAGTGTCTAGGCTCTGAGTTCAAGCCCCACTACTGACAAAAAGAAAAGAAAGGAAGAAAGTCACAATAGGGAGAGTACAAGGAAGGGGTGACATTGTCTAAAAAGAAATGTATTCTTGGGCTGGGAAGGTGGCTCAGTGGTAGAGTATTTGCTTTGCATGCATGAGACCCTGGGTTCAATTCCTCAGCACCATGTAACAGTAAAAGCCAGAAGTGGCGCTGTGGTTCAAGTGGTAGAGCTGAGAGACAGCACCCAGGCCCAGAGTTCAAGCCCCATGACCGAAAAAATTAAAAAAAAAAAATGTATTCTTTACCTGCCATATGTAGCTGTACTGTAACCTCTCTGCACATTATCTTTATAATAATAATAAACATTTTTAAAAAAAGAAAGTCACTATAAAAATGGTCAGTGTAGAAACTGTACAGTTAACATTTACTTTTCCTATAGCCCTCAGGTCAGAGAAAAATAAAAGCAAATTGCTGATTTAAAATGAACTAAGCTAAAACAAAATGCTTAAATAGGGATACAGGTTGATCCATTGTAACAATGAAATGTACAAGACATTATGTTGAAAAATGAACTTTACCATTTAGGCAGGAGTCAGGGGAGTGTAGTTGTGGAGGTAGGAGGGAAGGGATGGTAGGGGAAAAACAAAGGAGGAGGTAACAATGCTTGATAGGAAATGTACTCTTTATATTGCTCATGTACTCATGTAACTGCACCCCTCTGTACAGTATTTTTTCAATAAAAACGTATTAAAAATTAACTAAGCTAAAACATTATATATCAAAATGCATGAAATACTGCTAATTCATTCCAATAATGTAGTATAGAATGACTTTGTTAGCAAATTTTATTCCCAACCACAACAAACTAGACAAACCAAATTCAAAAATAGTAGAGTAAGCCAACAGAAACAGATATATAAATCAGTGAAGTGGGAAAAATAAAAATTGGGTCAGATAAAGAAAATGCCATCTTTGAAAAGATCTATAAAGTTGACAAACTTCTAGGAAGGCTGACAGAAAGAGAAGAAAGGAAGAAAGAAAGTATATAATAAGCAATCCTGGGATTATCCTAGGGAATACTTAGAGCATATGTATGACCTAACTTACATTACCTTTCTTTAAAGCAAATGCACATATTGCCAAAAGTGGCAACAATGAAAAGATCAGAATAGCTCCAAGAAAGAGAAGTTAGAAGTATTTTGTAGGCGAGAACTACAAAATTGATAACCACAATGAAAATATTAGGATCTATGGGGCAGGATGAGCATATTGAGTATCACTGTTCTTACCCCATACTGTTCTGGAGGTTTTCAGCAGGGAGGTAAGCCAAAAGAAAGAAATCCCCCCACCTCTCCACTGCATGTCACACCCATGCATGCACACATATGTATGTATGTTTACCCATATAAAGGAAAAAGACAAAATACTGGTAATCTGTTTCTCTAGGGAAGAGGAACATACTCAGTTGATACGCTACTAGAAAACCTAGGGTAGTTGTACCCAAAATATAAGAATCAAAATAAGCAATTAAAACAATTTTCAACAACCATTATACTCAAACTCAGCTGGCTTGGGTATGTACAGTATCACCTGCAACTCTTGACTTCTCAGGGTAACCTCTCTTCATATAATTAGGACTCTTGGTTGCAAGAAACTTGAACAAGCCTGGGTACAAAGGGATATTAGAAATAGGAGACTCTAGGCCAGCAGGACTCCTGCTAAGTCTCATCTGTGTACAGACTGGCTGTCTCCACAGAGCTGCAAACACAGCATTCCTTAAGGTTTATATCTTCAGGCATTAGTATGAGATCAACTCTTTTTTTGTTGTTTGTAGGAAAAAAAACTTGAAGAAGGCTTTGATTGGCCCATGCTTTACCCAAACCATTCACCAAGAGGTTATCCATTATATTTGATGTGATGGTTGCTCTAATAACCACATGGCTTGCAGGAGCACCACAGTTTCTACATAAATGGTGCTAAGCAGTTTTGGCTTTTTTTTTTTTTTTAAGATAAACAGTCTTTCTTTCTTGCTTTCCTGCTTTCTTGCTTTCATTTATTTTTTGTCAGCCATGGGCTTGAACTCTGGGCCTGAGTGCTATTCCTCAGCAATTCAGTTCAAGGCTAGTGCTCTACCACTTGAACCACAGCGCCACTTCTGGTTTTCTGGTGGTTTATTGGAGATAAAACTTTCACGGCCTTTCCTGCCTGGGCTGGCTTTGAACCACAATTCTCAGAATTTTAGGTGTGAGCCACCAGTGCTCAGCTAGATAGGGTTTTTCTTTTTCTTTTTTTGGGGGGGGTCTGGTCGTGGGGCCTGAACTCTGGGCCTGGGCGCTGTCC